TAGTTTGAACGTGTTACTTACAAGGCGACATTCATTTTCAGGACTACATAGATTATTAGTTTGCATATGAAGAGTGAATGTTTTTATCAAAAGCATGCCTCTCCACGGAGTTATGAAGTATAATATACAAATAATCCATATATAAAACATCGAAATGGAGGGGGGATCCCAGTGGAGGGTATAGTTTGAAATGTTAATGATCGTGGGATAAACTACTATATGTATAGTCATATGTGGAACCATAAAATTAAACTGTACTGCGTTACAATTAGTGATAAATGTATAGAGTTTGAACATTATACTTATAAAAAATCCACACGAAACTGATTGTAGGTTAAATTAGTGTATGAATACGACGCATAGGATACATATCCTGAGCTTAAATGTTTTGGTGTAAAATGGAAAATGGGTTTCTGCGTAGATTGTAAGTTAAAGAGTATATGAATATTCATGAAGTAAACTATACAAATTATCCAATCTATAATATATATAACATAATTACACATATTAAAAGCCTTTATTTATTATTGAAGTAAAACTATAAAGTTGACTTTAATATAGTGTTAAGAACTATAGCAACATAAAATGACACAACTTGACAATTAATAACACCCTCTGGTGATTCGCGAATGAGACACATAACAAACATTTGCCCGCGCAAAATAAATGATCTAATCGCCACCTAATGGCGTATTTTGGAACTTTCTGCTCTCTCCTAGCAACACACCCTAAAACACCGCCTTATGGTGTCACTCTGAAAAACAATGACGTCACGTGACCTCATAGTCTCAAACAATACTTCTCCCTATTTCCCCCATCAAGGCGCCGGCATCCTTAGCTAAAATACAATTTTTCAGTCACTGGGTAATATACAGAAACAACAAAAATACATAAACTTGTTTCTACACATATGTTCCTCCTGGAGAAGTTATAGAAGGATTTTCTCCATGGCGCTTTACACAACTATTAATAAAGTGGCTCTGACGTGTTGCAACAAGAAACTATGAAACACAACGTTAGTAACCATGACCACCAGTATTTGATACTTATAGCAGAGCATAAACTATTTTACGCATGTCAACACACATTCTTATATATTTAGAAACTTGGTATACTTAAACCGGTGCTTTAAAGCATTAGCTCATAATCTTCTCGTCAATAGCACAAGCTGCTGAAAATTACAAACACGGCACGAAGAAAACATGTTTAATTTAGTACACATCTTGTCTATTCCCTTTTTCCTAATAACAACACTACTGCCATCCCAAGCACTAATTGTCTTACCTTCTTTCAGATCAACTCGAATTGGTAAGTCTGTATCGAGTTCCACTCCAACTGAAGACCTGCAGGTCACTTCACTCAAGACCTGTACAAACGAGTGTCTTAAAGTAAATTGTAAAGCGTTTGGCTTTCAGGCAAAGGCTCCATCTTCAAACACCGACCGAATTTGTCAGATCGTCAAAGAATTCCATTCCTGGAACACCACTGACGACTTTTTAGAAGATAATGAAACTTTCGTGTTCTATGAAGTAAGTGCCAGTTAATGTTTTGATAATAATTTTATTGTAAGTGAAAATAAAAGATTGTTTCATGAAATATTTCTTATAGTTGACACTTTAAGAGTAACATGCCTTTATTTGATTTATAGTACCACAAATCTTACAGCTAATTGTTACATAAAGTTATTTTACTGCAACTATTTTTAACATTAGAAATATTGCAAAATTTCACATAAGCACTTCACCTGATATTTTCCCATTCGAACGAGCATATCAAAACAAGAAGAATTAACAGTTTTATTTGGTTGGTTGTTTGAATTTATGCACAAAGCTACACAATGGGCTATCTGTGTTCTGCCCACTACGGGTATGGAAACCAGGTTTCTAGCGTTGTAAGTCCGTGGAAATACCGCTGTGCCACTGGGGGGTTAACAGCTTTAACCACAACAGCTTGTAAAAATGTGTTATCAAACAGCATTTACTTTCCACATTAATCAAAGATTACAAACTGTCAGTTATAACCAGTACACCTTATAACTATGTAAAATGTAATTACTTACTTGGTCCTACCAAACGGAATTTGTATACAACGTGTCCATCATCAAGATACGAAAACGTTAATAGCAATGAAATATAAGCCATCTACTATCAAAATTCATACTTATAACTAAATCTTACAAATGTTTGTTGCTAGTTAAGTACAAAGTTACACAAAGAGTTATCCGTACTGAGCCCACCACGGGTATCGAAACCCGGTTTCTAACAATTTTACAAATAGTAATTAAAAGCTTGTGTGTTTAACCATCTTGTAATCTTCAAACTACATGATATGATTAGACCAAAAGAAACACAGGAAAATCGTTTGTTACGATAACTATAAAAGAGCCTGCTCCTTATAAAAACATGATCAGCATTGGTTTTTTTTTTGTAAACGTTCATTGCTTTAACATTATCAACATGTGATTTTCTAACAGAAAGATGGACATAACAGGCAGCATGGTTGAAATTAACTAGCAGAGACCCTCAAAAGATTCGCGGTCAGATTAGTATCTTTATTGTAATAAATACTTCTTTAACTGTTAAGTCCAGGATTTCTAAAATAATACAGAAGAATTCTAATCGCAGTCATCGAATTTTTTCTTAGGCCTAACATTAGTTAAACATTTATTAAGTACGACCTGTATTCGATCAAGAGATAAATTAACACTCTAACTTGTATTAGCACAATTCTTTCGGTTAATTATTACGATAGCTATAAAAGAGCCTGCTCCTTATAAAAACATGATCAGCATTAGTTTCTTTTCTAAATGCTTATTTCTTTAATATTATCAACATTATTTTATTATTTATATGTAATTTTCTAACGTTGAAATTAAATACCATCATGGCCATGATTGGAAAGTTTTATTTATAACTAGCAGAGACCCGCATCTTTATTGTAATAGTTCTAAACTTTTAAGTACATGAATTTTATAATAATACAGAAGAATTCTAATCGCAGGAACTAAAACTCATTTTTTCTTAGTCTTTATTAACTACGACCTATATTCGATAAAGAGATAAATTAACACTGTAACTTGTTTACGTTTTTTTTTTCTTTGTACTTTAGTTTAGTTCAGGCTAAACTTTACCTTACTTAATACCATCAATAAATAATCGTATTCTGTTATTCTATTATTATATTATTCTACGACCTAGCTTTGGACATTTTAATAAATTTGATAAGCTTTCATATGTTGTTGTTTAGTAAAGTATATTTACATTGTTTAAATCCGTTGAAATGAAGTGAACACACATTTTTCAGGACAGGCGAAAACTGAGTATTATTGTAAGAGATAAGCAATTAGTTTCATCATCCTTACAAACAGTTTAGTAAAAATTAGCGGAAATTATACGTAGTGCACTATTAAGTTACAATGTGGTTGTTATGTTTTGATCTCACAGCCAAAAATACGTTAAACTTTATACTCGGTTCGTAATGTACTTCAAGATCATTAAGTACATAAGTATGTAAGCGAAAGTAAATAAGAATGTAATGATATATCGTTCACACTATATCTGCTATATCCAGAGATGACGGGGCCTTTCGCACATTAAGAGTATTCGTCCATCCAAATATAGTTTTAGGTGTTATAGCGTCCGAAAGTGTCCACTAAAATATTTTAACATTTTTTGTAAACAGAAAAAAAGAAGTTTTTGCACGATATTAATATTTGAGTGTAATGTGTCATATAAATTGAGCTTTATATGAATTAAATAATAAATTCAAACCACTTGTACTGATTACCACAAATAATAAGGAGCCCTTTGCTACATAGTTAATTCAGCTCAATTGTTGACCAATATTTGTTTCCCGTAAACCGCGTTTATAACACCTAGAATCTCAGGTAAATGACTGTTCCGAACCGAAGGTTGACCCTATGATGGAGCTCTGGATTTTGTAACTGACAAGCCAAGTTCAAATTCCTGCGACACCACAAAATATTCTCCACATTTTAAGCTGTGGGTGTGTTATAAGAGTAAAAGTCAATCACTTAATGTCGATAGTGGGTGGTGTAGTTAGGGTGACAATTACCAAGTAGGCTTACTAACTTACAATATAACTCATCTGATCGGTACTATAGAATAACCCTAATATTTACTTTCTGATCGACACTATACCAATAAATCAAACAAACGTAAGCCTAATGTAGTATAAATTGAATAGTTTTAAATAAATTGGCCCAATTTAACTTCAGTTTGCTCAAAATAACTCGCAATTATTTAAAATATTTGTAAGAAACCAACAGTATCCTAGAGGTTGAATTTTCCAGAAAAGAAAAGTCACGCTCCACACTTTGGAGCCGTGAGTGCATTATAAGATTGACTGCCAAATCCCACTATTAGGTTAAAGTAGCCCACGAGTTGGCGGTGAGTAATGTTTACTTAGTTGCCTTTCTGTTAGTCTATCACTTCAAAATTAGGGAAGCTCGAGTAGCTTTGAGTGAAATTCAACAACAAACAATTTAACTTTCAGTCGTGTTTCGGTGCAAGTTAGCTCAGTGGTTGAGCTCTGAATTTTGGAGTTCGCGATACAGGCTAGTCCCATAAAATATTACCCTGCATTTTAAGCTGTGAGAACTATAAGGGTGACAGTCAGTTAATTAGCATAGATAGTGGGTTATCTGTTGACTGGTTGTCTTCCATCTGGTCAGGAGGTAGATAGCCTTAGTAGCTTTGCCATAAATACAAAGGGAATAACCATTTCGACTACATACACGTTTTCTAAGTTAATTTCTTACATTTTTATATCGTCTGAGAAAATTAATGATACATTATCTATCTTGTATCATAACTACACCAAGTGGATTTGTGTCCTTTCACGTTTAGTGACCTGCGCTCTAACATATGCTTGTATCATTAGCACAAACACGCCCATTGTTCATAACTTTAGTACATATATCTCATACAATGAAAGTAATCGTAAAAGCTTTTATTTATTTCTTTACATTCAGATTTCACCGAAGTGGAACATTTTCGAGACGGTCAGTATTTATTTCTTTGTGTGTTATAGGTACCTGGAATTATACAAGTAATGTAAATTATATTATGTGTAGATCTAACTAGCAAACACGTTTTAACTTTTATAATTGAAAACATTAGACTCAATGATTATTTTCTCAAGCCTGAAATAACTGTAAACTTTTATACTCGTATTCTAAATATCTTATACGTATTCAGTTGGTAATAATATAACGTTGTGTATTTTTCGTTAAAATACTGTAACGTAATACCGTTTAGCAAGTATTGACCTTTATGAAATAACACATATGAAGATGTGCTGAAGATAAAAGTTACTTATAATGTTACTTCAAATTTACACTCGTTATCGGTCTTATTACGAAAGAGAGTTTTGTAGATCAATTTGTTATTGGGCATAAAACAAAACATGTTATTAAAATGAGGCATTTTTAACTTCTTCTCAAGGAATTGTTTATGGTTTATATTACAATTTTCCTTATCCTTTAGCAGTGATATTAACATTTTCCTAGTGACATTCCTAGCCTTTAGCAGTGCTTTATTAAGTGCATGACTTGTGTTCCATAATAATTTTACAAGCTTTAATAATCGTCGCCATAAGTACCGTAAAAAAATATTAGAAATGTTTTCCTTCTTGTAGAAAATATCAATTTATTTAGCATTATTAGTTCCAATAAATTTAAAAGGCAACACTTGAAATAAATGTTTTGTAACTTCTCCTAATGAGCTTCAATGCGAAGGTATCACTATATATGACCAAGCCCCGAAAAGCTTCAAATATTTTATTACATCAACATAATGTAAAATAAAGGCAGGTGTAAAAAGTTATCACCAAACACAAGTAACGCATTATATTTTCTTCCAATGAACATCTAACAACAACTTTCTTCAGATTCTCGTTTTGTTTGAATGCACTTGTGGTACCTTTACTGTGATTTCACTAAAGAGTTTAAATTTTCTCTGTATGTAAGATCATCATTTCTGCTTGTTCTATTTGTATTGTTTTACAGACACCAGCTATGGTAAAGAAACCCGATGGAGCTCGAATAGTAAGTAACTGACACTTCCATTAAACTTTAACAAATTGTCATGCTTTCTAGTCCTTTACAGTACGAGTGTAAAGTTCAATTTGAAGTTTTTGATAAAGGATGTGATCTGTTTTCGAGTACTTTTTTATGGAATTATTTTTTTCAAATCTGTAATATATTAAATAAGTAGTTTAGTATTACTCGTTGTTTGAGTGTAGTCGCCTATTATACAGGTAATTGTATCTTTAAGATCACACATACATTTCTACACATGGTTGTTTTAAAGTTTATGTGGTGTGTTCGTTGAAGGTTGTTTTTGTTGTACTTCTCTCACCGTAAAAGTGATCCTAAAGGCTTTGAAAGATTGATACTGCTATATGTACACATGAGCCAAAAGGTCGGGACAGATATCACTAGCATTTAGGTGTTTTTTTTTTATTCCTGTAAACTCCCGGTGGAGCATAGGGCCGCAACAACACCTCGCCAACGGAAGTTGTTGTTGCAGTTATTTGTAGGAGGTTGTTTTTTACGGGGTGGAGTTGCTAGCCCCGCGCCCAACCCTCCTCCTTTCTCATCCTGGACTTGGGACCAGGCAATGGCGGAGGTGAGCATGTTTGGTGTGACGGGGATTCGAACCCGCGACCCTCAGATTACGAGTCGAGCGCCCTAACCACCTGGCCATGCCGGGCCAGCATTCAGGTGTAACCGGTCCAAATTTGGAACTATTGATGAAAGACAGCCAACTAGAAACAACTACTGCTGCAATGGCTTTGCCTGGCTTTGAGCCAAATAAATGGGATTAACTGCCACTCTTAATATTGGGCAACAGTTGCGAAACGTGTTCATCGTCTTCAATCTTGGACCTTTCAATCCGCAGTCTGGCACGTTAATCAATAAGCCACGCCTTGCGCTATTTGAAAAATAAACTAACTGCTTCAACACAATTTAGTTAAAGGAAGAAGTAGAGAAAGGGTTATTGATTTTTGCTCCGCAAGTACAAATGATTTATATGCCAGAACTTTTCCCTTTTATAATCGTACAAATGAAACATTACATTATTCTATGACTTATGTGTCAATGGAAGTTCCAATTCTGAAACAGCTTCAAAAAAGCCGTCTTCTTATTAAATTATCCTGACGCATTTAAAATTCCTGGTATAAGGAAATGAAGTATTATAAGTTTCTTTAATGCTCCATTATCTACTGGTTTATAATTTTACGGCCCAGCATGGCCAGGTGGTTAGAGCACTTGACTCGCAATCTGAGGGTCGCGGGTTCGAATCCCCGTCCCACCAAACATGCTCGCCCTTTCAGCCGTGGGGGCGTTATAATGTGACGGTTAATCCCACTATTCGTTAGTAAAAGAGTAGCCCAAGAATTGGCGGTGGGTGGTGATGACTAGTTGCCTTCCCTCTAGTCCTACACTGCTAAATTAGGGACGGCTAGCGCACATAGCCCTCATGTAGCTTTGCATGAAATTCAAAAAACAAACAAACATTATAATTTTAAAATATTGTCTTGGGCAGAAACCCGAAAGCTTATCAAATACTGGGCTTAACTATTATTAATAATTATCAGAATGCCAACAATTTTATATATTTCTAGATACTCAATCCAACAGGCTGGTGGTCTTACGCGTTCGAGCTGTTTTACGAAATACCTATAAGGCTAGAAGAGAATGACATTATGGTGGCAGACTTCTGTCTGTACGATGAACATTTTACTGATCGATATTCGTAAGTTCCTTTCAAAAAGAAAATCAGTTTATTTAAACAAAATATTTCAATTGTCTTTATTATTTCTTTTTAAACACATTTATTTCTTAAATGTGCTCATCTAAATGAAAGAAGCTGCTGTATTGTCAGGAAGTCCTCATAATAATGGAAAACGTAATATACCAAAACAATAATCAGTCCTAATTATGTTTAGCCGGATATGGATTTTTTAGTATTTTAAATGACATATGTACCAGACTGAATTCTTGAATTTCGTTAAATTATACACAATATTACATTCATAAAAAAACTGTAAATAACCTTTTAATACTAAATAAGTTACATTAGTCAGTTCTTTTGTAATTATAGCTTCTTCGACGTACTTCTAACGTTGATCTTATCTTATGAATTTTAAATCTATTTTTAACTTCTTATTACATTAAACAATAAATATGCGACATCTAGTATAAAATAATTTTGTATGTTATGAAAACAGCTTTATTTTTATAGTAGAGACACTGTTTTTTCTCTTTATATTTAGATCCTATTTCGTTGGAATATTCTATGGTAAAAAACTATTTCTTAGGCTAAAAGTTCATCCAACTCTCCGTAAAATTGATGTGGCTTATAGAACAAGCAGGAGCTCTGCAGTTAAAAAAGTGCAATACGGCTCCTCTACTTCTCAAGGAAATATGCTTCAACCTGGATTTTGCTACCACGCTACAATATTTCTGGCACCTTACGAGACTATTGTTACGCTGAATGGCGTAATGTTAGCGCGACCACCAAGATATTATCACCTAAGCGAAATTATTAACGTAAGAATAGACAACAGAGCGTTTCTAATTCCGCCTTCCGCAACGTGTTATATTCTGTGATTCTTTCGCACGATAAAATATCTTAGCTTCTGTGGTAGCAGCATTTTGGAACAGTATTTTTTGAATGCACGGAGAAAATGGCAGAGTGATAAAACATTAAGAAATTAACTAAACAAATTATTGCACATTCTAACACATCACTTGATCATTGATAACACTGTTTAGAATATGTTCTCACACATAGTTTTTTTAACTTTAATTAAATAATAACAGAATCTAGAGAAACAATTAACTTATTAAATATTTAATGGAAGAAGAAGGCAACAAATGTACTGTAATAATCATATTTAAAAATACATTTTTTTTACATTTATACTTACACATCATTACTAAGATACACCGATATCATATGCATGTGTATGTTACTTTCAGTATTTATAATCTTTCATTTTCTATGAATGATATAGCGATTTATGGAATGGAGTAAGTAATGCTGTTAAAACATACCATAATGCAATTACTTGTAGCTAAACCAACAATCTAATTTTAAAATGTTGCGGGAATAAATTCCTTGCTATCAAAAACCTTTCTTTAATTCCACAATAATATATCTAATATATATATATATATATATGTATGTATGTATGTGTGTATGTGTTTAAAATATATCTATTGTTTTACTCAACTTTGCCTTCAATTTATTTTATTATTATTGGTACACCTTAGATCGCAGTTTATAACCGTAAAAACATTTCTGTAATCGAAGGTTTGAAAAATACGTACATATTTAAAATCGACATTTTGTGTGAAACATTACCATTCGCTGTCTAATATATATGAATATATTCAAGGAAAATTGTGTTTGAAGACAGTTATAATTAATTTTATAAATTCATTATTATTAACACCAACGACGTAAAACCGAATATCAATCAAACTAATGAATACATTAGTAGAACTAAGATTCAAGAAAATTCCTACTTAAATTCAGTAGAAATTCATTGGGAACAAATTAACTGAGTTATTCCAGTACAGATCTTTATCCATTCCAAAAAAAAAGTCGAATTATTGTAATTTCATAATTAATAGAAATAATTATTTTGGTCTTTATTAATATAGTAATATACGTTTGTATATCAAAAATAAGAAACTCAAAAACTTGAGCATTTACGAACGTAGGAATTTCCTCATCAGGAACAAAATGCTACATCAATCATTTCTCATCACTCTTAAATACGGTTATAAATAAATAATTGGAAATAGAGTTTTAAAACTACATGTGGAAAGTTTTGGAACATTTGTCTGTTTGTGTTGACTTTTGAGGCAAAGCTACGCAAAAGTTATATTCAAATAGCCTTCCGTAAATTTGAACAGAAAGGGCTAGAGGGAAGAAAACTAGACTACATAACCTACACGAACTCTTAGACTACTCGTGTCTCAGAGAATAGTGGGTTTGACCATCAATTTTGTAAAGTCTCTGTTGCCCTAAAATGCATCAGATATGCATTGAAAACGAACTATTAGAAACAAATGAACTGAATTTTCGGTTTTAGATTTCATGAAGGGATATCGGTGACTGGTATATTGGAGAACATATTGTGTAAGTGTTTTCTGGCTAAAATGTCGTTGGTTTCTGTACAGTTCTTATTTCTTGTACTCATGTTTCAGTGTTTGATACCATACTGCTTAATTCTACTCTGAAACGATTGGTACCATAAATATTCTGTATTAAGTTTTGTAATCTCTCACCATAGTTGGACGAATATAATACTACGGTGACGTTGTCTTTGTCGGTCGGTACTGAAGATGGTGTTGTCGTTTTTCAAACTTCTTAAGTATCCCGTTTCTTTTGATGTTAAGTTCATTGTTGATTTTAATGAACAACGAAGGGTTCGAAATGCTTCAAGAAGAAGAATATTTACTTCAACGGCGAGACGTTTTTGTCTCGTTTTTTTCGATTTTTGTTAGATAATCAGAGATTGGAAGAGTATTTGAAGTTGTAGCGAACGTTAAGACAAAATTGATCCCAAAATGTCGTTTTATCGTAATATTCAACGAAAGATGTCAGATAACAAAAAAACTCTCTATTTATTTCAGTGATGTTTAAAATAAATTTGACTTTGTCGCTTACATGGTACGTGGCCAGGCATGGCCCGGCATGGTTAGGGCATTCGGCTTGCAATCTACGGGTCGCGGGTTCGAATCCCCGTCACACCAAACATGCTCGACCTTTCAGCCGTGGGGGCGTTATAATGTGACGGTCAATCCCACTATTCGTTGGTAAAAGAGTAGCCCAAGAGTTGGCGGTGGGTGGTGCTGACTAGCTGCCTTCCCTCTAGGCTTACACTGCTAAATTAGGGACGGCTAGCGCAGATAGCCCTCGTGTAGCTTTGCGCGAAATTCAAAATCAAACAAACAAACAATACATGGTACGTAATTCCTGAGTGTTTAAAGAAAGGTAGGAAAGATCAATGACCGAAAATCTCTAT